ATTTTAAATGAATGTTTTCCCTTAGTTTTGCTAAATGGTCCAGCTTAGTTTCTCCTTGCTTTCATATTATTAAATTTTCTAGCTTATTAATTTTGTGTTACATTTGGCATGTAAACAAAATAAAAGATTTTACTAACAAGATTCTTTATGCTTCTTTTGTTCTCAATGTCTTTATGTCATTAATTTTAAGGGTCAGTCTCATACTTTTGTTCTGATAATTTGGTTTCTGCACAGGAAATTTTGGTCCACGGCAACTCAGTTCTCTTTCATCTAAGAACTTGGAGACAGAAAAAAAGACTACAGATAACTATTGTAAGACACTTATAATACTAATTTAGCTAATACTTTTGCTCCTTATTATCTATAAGGATTATTAATGCTGACAAAGTAACAACACAATATGCCCTGCTTCCTAGCTGCATACCTGACAGGTTTGTTGTGTTGATACTCTTTCTCTTCTCAATACAAAGTATCAGGACAAGTAATAAAAATTCAGTGCTAAAATTCAGTATGACCCAGTTTTGATGAAATATTGGTGATAAATGCACGATGCAACATTTTTTTCACATTTATTATTCTATGTGTTCCACATGCATCATTTTGCCCTGATGAAAATCTCACTCCCCAGTTTCCTTTGGTTCTCTTCCTACCCTTGAATCCATTTCATTTGTTGGGATGGGGCAAAGGGGAGGCAAAACCACTGGATAGGTTTATTGGGAAGTTTCAGAGAGAGCAAATATAAAAGCCCCAGGACCTTACTAGGCACTCAGCAAACTTGAGTGCTCTACCCCTTCTTTTCCTTGCCTCGTGGATTTAGATGCTTTGCAAGGTTCTGTCCGGGATCCGCTCTTTTCATACCTCCTGTTCTTCTTAGTGTCATCTACTCGTATGGCTTCAACTGCCTCCTAGATGTCAGGGAGGACTGTATTTCCAGTCTCCCCCTTACTACTGATGTTCTGAATGACTCTTCAGCTGCCTACTAACCAAGTCCATCTGGATGTCCCCTAGGCCTTCTCTACCCCACATGTCAAACAATATCACCACTTACTCAGTTGTTCAAGATGAGAAATCTAAGTATCAATGAGTATCCATGAGTCCTGACTTGACTAATCACACCCTTCTCCCTTCTCCTCACATCTAATCAGACACTGGCTTCTGTCACTTAAACTCCACTTGATACCCTCAGTGGATGATCTATTTTGCTTGTTGCTATTTCCCCAGTGCCTAGAACAATGCCTGATACCTACTAGATACCTACTCAAATCATTTATTGAATGAATCAATCTGTCCTCTTTGTCTTCACTGCCATGATCTCTTTGGAAAGTCAGGTGCATAGCTCCTGAACTAGTCTGCCTACCTCTAGTAACTCTAGCTCCTGTTACCTTCTTTCCAATCCATCTTATAGACTGCCTGCACAAGTTCAATGGTGAAGATTCTAAAAAAAGACCCCAAATTTTCCCTGGCCCCTCATAATATAGCCTCAGTTTACCTCTTTAGCCTATTCTCCTGTCACTTCTTCACTCTAAAAATTCCCTACCTTCACAAACTTCAACACACATACATTTTTTAAAATTTCAAATTCCAACTGTTCATTGAGGTAATAAGGCAAAATAGGAGAAAAAAGATGTGTTTTATGACTCAGGATGTGGTCTATCTTCGTGAATGTTCCATGTGAGATTAAGAAAAATAAATACTATGCTGTTGTTGGATGAAGTAGTCTATAGATGTCAATTAGATTCCATTGACTGATGGCGCCGATGAGTTCAACTATGTCCTTAGTGATTTTCTGCCTTTTGGATCTGTCAATTGCTAATAAGGGGGTGCTGAAGTCTCTAAATCTAACAATGGATTCATCTATTTGTCCTTGCTGTCTTATCAGTTTTTGCCTCATGTATTTTAATGCTCTGTTATTGATGCTCTGGTTTTGAGCATTTTATGATTCCATTTTCTCCCTTCTCTGTTAGCATATCAACTGTATATATATTTTAAATTTTTATAAGTTACCTTCCAGTTTGCAATGTACATTTACAACTAATCTAAGTCCATCTTTAAACACTATACTGTTTCATGGGTAGTAAGCAATCTTATAAAAGAATATTTCCAATTTCTGCCTCCCATCATTGCTGTCATTCATTTTATTTATCCATATGCTATAAACACTAAAAAATTGTTGCTATATTTTGAACAAAGTCATCTATTAGACCAATTAAAATTTTTTAAAAAGATTTTAATTTACCTTCATCTATTTGTTTTCCAGTGCATGTCCTTTATCCGAGTCTCTAACCCATGCCATTTCCTTCACTCTGAAGAACTTTTAGCACTTCTTGTAGGGCAGATCTCCGGCAAATTTCTTCAGTTTTTGCTGACTCTTCGTCTTTCACTTTTAAGGGATAATTTTGCTGGATAATATCCTCTGTTGTTGAGTTTTTTCTTTCAACATCTTAAATATCTACACTCTGTTCTTGCTTGCATGGTTTCTGATGAGAAATCCAGTATCATTCTTTTTCATGCTCCTTTACAGAAAAGGTGTTTTGGGGGCGCTTGGGTGGCACAGTCAGTTGAGTGACCAACTTTTGATTTTGGCTCAAGTCCTGATATCAGAGTTGTGAGATCAAGCCCTGCATCAGGCTCCGTGCTCAGCACAGAGTCTGCTTGGGACTCTCTCTCCCTCACCCTCTGCCCCTCTCACTTGTGCTCTCTCTCTAAAAACAGAACAAACCAGGGATGCCTGGTGGCTCAGTTGTTAAGCGTCTGCCTTCGGCTCAGGTCATGATCCCAGGGTCCTGGGATCGAGCCCCGCATCGGGCTCCCTGCTCCGCGGGAAGCCTGCTTCTCTCTCTCCCACTCCCTCTGCTTGTGTTCCCTCTCTCACTGTGTCTCTCTCTGTCAAATAAATAAATAAAAATCTTTTTTTTAAAAAAAGGACAAAACAAAACAAAAAAAGGTAATTTTTCCCCTAGCTTTAAGACTTTTTGTCCTTGTTTTCTACAGTTTAAATATGATATGCTCAGGTGTAGATGTTTTTCGTATTTATCATACTTGCTCTTTTCTGCTTCCTGGACCTGTGGTTTGGTGTCCATCATTAATTTTGGAAAATAGCCATTATCATCACAAATCTCTCTTCTGTTCCTTTCTTCTCCTGGTATTTCCATTATACCTATGTTATAGCTTATATAATTGGCCCATAGTTGTTGGATAGTTTTTTTTTTTTTATTTGCATTTCAATTTGGGAAGTTTTTACCGACATATTTTCAAGCTCACTGATCTTTCTTCAGGTGTGTTCAGTCTGATGATTAGTCCATCAAAGGCATCTCCATTTCTGTTAGGGTGTTTTATTTCTAGCATTTCTTTTTAATTCTTAGAGTTTCCATCTCTCTACTTACATTACCCATCTGTTTTTGGATGTTGCCTATTTTCCACTAAAAACCCTTAGCAAATTAAGCACAGCTGCTTTAAATTCTTGGTCTGATTAGTTCAAACATCCCTGCCATACCCATCTGATTCTGATGCTGGATTTGTCTCTTCAAATTGTATTTTTCGGGACATCTGGGTGGCTCAGTCAGTTAAGCATCCGACTCTTGATTTCTGCTCAGGTCATGATCTCAGGTGTGTGAGATCGAACCCCGCATTGGGCTCTGTCTGCCCCGGGGAATGGAGCCTACTTAAGATTCTCTCTTTCCCTCTGCCCCTCACCATACCCTCTAAAACAATAACAACAAGAAAACAAATTGTTTTTGTTTTTATATTTGTTTGTTTGCTTTTTCATTATGCTTTGTAGGTTTTTTAAGTTGAAAGCCAGACATGATCTATCAGGTAAACAGGAACTGAGGAAATTAGGCTTTTAGTATAAGGTTTTATGTTAATCCAGGTAGGAGCTGGGCTGCATTTAATATTTGCTATAGTTGTGTAGACTTCAGTTTCCTCTTTTCCTTGTTTTTATTCTTCCCTGTTGTACTGTCTCCCTAAGAATACTTTCTTAAAGAGTGTGTCCTATCACTCTCAGTCAAATTCCGCTATTATGACACTGGAGTCCCATGTGATGTAAAGGATTTGGGAAGTATTGTATAATCTTATGATTCTAAATCTGTTTATACTTACCCTGAGTCCCTGGGCTGTGACCTTCAGAAGTGTTTCTTAGCGTTTTTTCTCCCCCCTCTTACGTGACACAAGAAGGCTCCAGGGGGCTAGAATGGTCTAACTGCTCTTGCCCCAGGATGGATGAGGTTCTGGTAATGTGGCTGGTTTTCCTTAGAGGGCAGGCCTTTGTCATGGAAGAAGATCCAGGTGTATTTCAAAATAGTTACTTTCCCTTCCCCTGTCCTGCCTGAAACACAGAGGATCCTGATCTCAATCCTGAGAACTTGATGGGGTTCCTGGGGATAAATCCTAGACAGCACAGAGCCTCCCCTGAGAGTGGGCCCTCAGGGGGTTTTAACTGTCAAGCTAGTTTACACTCAGCCTCCAGTAACTTGTCAAAGTTACCATTTCACTGTTCCTATCAGTTACTGCTCCAGAGCTTTTGCTCCCAGTAAGCTCGCTCAACTGCGAGTTTATCTGCCTATCTTTCCAGTTTTTGCGGTAGTTTGCCCTGTGACCTCAATTCTCTTGTAGAAATAAGAAAAGCCATCTATTTTCAGCCTGTTCAGCCTTTTTCTTATTGTGAGGATGGAGTAATGACTTCCAGGCCCTTCACATGTTGGAGCTGAAGCTGGAAGTTTTCTACAAACTTGTTTTTAGTCCTTTCCTGATTTTCTCTATCAAGCTGGCCTGAAATAACCCTCTCCGAGGAGCCTTCCCAGACCTGTCTCTAAGAAATGAAAAGCTCCTTCCTGTGCGCTCCAGTGCTTGGCGCAATTACAAGTATTCTGCTGCTGGCTACTGGCTCTGTGACCGACTGGCTGGAGAACCGCCGTCATGGCACAGCTTTGCGGTTCTAGCACGTGGTATAAATCAATGTCTAGTGAAATGAAAGGAAAAATGAACAAAACACTGTTCGCTAATTAAAAACCAAGAACTACTTTTATTTGGGTCACTTCTCCATTTATTAGAATTACCACGTTTGGAGAGGCACGAAGCACTTTAACATTTTACATGACTACAAAGTTATCACAAATCCCAAACCTTTTAGCCACGGCTATTTCACTTACTCCGTTTAAAGGAAAAGCTTTCAGAACATTTGAGTTAGCTTGAGACACAGAGACCCTGAATATATAGGAACTACATATTTTTAAATGCTTGCGCTTTCTGTTCTAACAATGTCTTCTTTAAATGGAATCCAGCATAAAAGGGATTGAAATATGTAAGGTCAGATGCAAATGCTTTGGAGAGACCGTGAAATTAATCTGTACAACACTGTAAAAGCTGTCGTGTGCACAGAGCCCTGCAAGCATTCACTGAGCCATTTGCGCTTCCATGGCTTGTGCTGTCCATTCTGGCGCTGTCTGACTAATCTTCTCCAACAGGTTATTCACTTGGAAACAAAGGGACTGGATCTGTTTGTCCCACGTTGGCAGGGCTTCCCGTGCTACACAAAAGAACAATGTACACAGCTGAACATTACTCCATATATTCATAGCAAGTGTGAGTTAAAAGATAAACACAGTAGTATTAATTTTTAAAAATCTATTCCAAAAATCTTGGCTAATAAAATTAAGCTAATTAAGGAAAGTACCCAAATTACTGGCACAAAGCACAAAGCCAAAAAACATATCCACACAGATCCATGTTATTATTCATGAAAACAAAATAAAACCAACCAAAGCACCTCAATCACAAAAGCCACCACAATAAAAGCGTCACTGAACCGATCGCATCACCAGTTTCTTGATTCATAAGACACTGCCACCTACTGGAGAAAGCAAATCTCTTTATATAGTCAAGGCTGTCTCTACTGGACTCTGAGGGATAAATATTTTAAACAAAAAAACAAAAAAACTCAACATGAAAACACCAGGATTTGTTCTGCATCAGCAATATGCAATTAGAAATGATAAACCTGAGGGAATATCCCATTCGAAACAGTACCCAAATTTACAAAAATGGGCACAGAAAAGAAAAACTAAAATAAAACAATTTTAAGAAAGGACATAAAATAATCTGAGTAGACACAAATGAGTCCCAGATGGAAAGATGCAATATCATAAAAAAAAAGTCCTTCCCTGTTAATATATAAATTTTTAAAAAACTACAAAGATAATCCCCCTTCCTGTGTTGCTTTCTAAACAGGACAATATTTAAAGTTAACATGGAAGAACTGATGTTTGAGAACAGCCAACATGATTTTGAAAATTAAGAACAGTGGCAACACTGTAGTATTATCTCTACCGCAGAATAATGTACCACTTCCATGCCATGACACAAATGGAACCGGAAAGCACTATGTTAAGTGAGCGAAGTCAAAGGTCACATAGTGCATGACTGCATTTCCATGAAGTATCCAGAAGAGGTAAGTCCTAAAAAAATTCAGACAGCGGCTGGCAGGGGCTGGGAGAAGGAGGGATGAGGAGCAATTGCTTAACAGGCACAAGATTTCCTTTTGGGAAGATGAAAATGTTTTGGAACTAGGTAGAGTTAGTGGTTGCACCACACTGTGAACCTACTACAGGCCATTGAATTGCTCACTTTAAAATGGTTCATGTTATGTGAATTTCAACTCAATAAAAACATAGCAGTGGAGGGGTAGGAGATGCTTTTCCAACAGCAAAATTTACTATAAATTTGTTTATTATCATATTGTTACAGATCAGTGGAACTAAACAGATTACAGAAAGAGATCCAAACATGTATGTGGAACCTAAATATTTATCAAAGATCAGAAAGTATGTTTTACTTAATAAATAGTACTTGCAAATTAGCAATCCATCTTAAAAAAAAGATAAACTAGACCATACCTTAAAATTATACACAAAAATGAACTATAGACAGATTATATTTCTAAGCATGAATAAAAATATTAGAAGAAATTTTAGAAAAATATTAGTTTTACCACAAAGTGAATGAAACCTTTTTTTTTTTTTTTTTTTTTACAGATTTTATTTATTTATTTGACAGAGAGAGACACAGCGAGAGAGGGTTCACAAGCAGGCTTCCCGTGGAGCAGGGAGCCCGATGAGGGGCTCGATCCGAGAACCCTGGGATCATGACCTGAGCCGAAGGCAGACGCTTACCGACTGAGCCACCCAGGCGCCCTGAATGAGACCTTTTAAATCAATACAGGAAACTAAAAAGCCATAAAATTAAAAACTGACATATTTGGCTGCATAAGAATTTTAAAATGTGTTTATGGTATGCATTGCCTTACTTCAGAAACACAACTGACATGATTGAATAATTTGGTTTTTATTTGTTTTGTTTGCTTGCCTTATGAAAAGATCACAATCATTCTGGCTGTACTGTGGCAATTGGGCCAGATAGGAGCAATTGCAGACATGAGGGGGAAAAGCCCAGAAGGTGGAGGAGGTTTCAGAATAGGCTGGTGACAGTAAGAAATGAAGACAAGTATATGGGTTCCAGATGCACCTAGGAGATAAAACTGAAAGGATTCTGGGCAGCAAAGAAGAGGGGTCAAGGATAAGGAATGCTGGAGAAAGTGAACAATGCAGCTTTTGGCTGGCTGGCTGATTGGTGGGTTGTGGAAGGGAGACAGGGAGGGGAGATAATGAATTCAGTTTGGAATATGTTCATTCTGAGATGCTCAACAAACAAACAGGTGGAAAATACCTAATAGTCACTTAACACCACTGGGTCTAGGACTCAGAAGAGAATTATACACTAGAAAGGCAAATATAAGCATTGTCCGCATAGAGATGGCAACTGAATCAATGGGAACAGATGGAATTATCAAGGGGAACAGTAGAGTGAGGAGGAAAAGGCCTGGAGTTAGCCCTAAGCAATATTTATATTTAAAGGCACTACAGAATCTACAAAGATGACTGGAAGAATCACTGGAAAAGGAGGAGGGAAAGCAAGAGAATGGGGTGAAAGAGAGGAAGGAATCAAGATGGTGTGGGTGGCGGGGATAGTTCAAAAAGTCGTAAAGGATCAATGCTACTCAATATGCTGAAAAGTCAAAATGAGACCTGAAAGATAAAAAGATCTTTGTTAAAATGGGAGAGACCCAAGTATGTTTAAATATTGATGGAAAGAAGCCAACAGAGCAAGAAAGAATGAAAACAGACAAAATAACTGCTAGTTTCAAGTTCCTAAAAAATTGTTGAGAGGGAGGGACACCAGTCAGAGAAGGGATCCAAAGCACAAGGACAACTGGAAAGGGAGACAGAAACCACCTCCAGTATAACACAAAGGAAGAAAAAGATAATCACATGATATTTAAAATTCAGAAGTTTTATAAATCTGATCAAGAAGTTAATTTAATTTCATACTGATAGATTTTTTTTCTGTGAAACAGGAAACAAGGTTTGCTGCTGAGAGTGAAGGAGGAGAAAAGTCTGAGATTTAAGAAAAATGAAATCTGAAATACCCACTGCAGAGTAGAAAAAAAGGGTGGAGTAGAGAAATGTGTCAAGAATCCCAGGTACTGGGGCACCTGGGTGGCTTGTCATTAATCTGCCTTCGGCTCAGGTCATGATCCCAGGGTCCTGGAATCAAGCCCCACATTGTGCTCCCTGCTCAGCAGGAAGCCTGCTTCTCCCTCTCCCACTCCCCCTGCTTGTGTTCCCTCTATTGCTGTCTCTCTCTCTGTCAAATAAATAAATATCTTAAAAAAAAAAAAAAAAGAATCCCAGGTACTGTTGAGAACACATGACCTTGAATTTGCGGTGGTTATCAATCTGTCTGGTGTTCTGACTCTTGTCCAACAATGTTAGCTACCCGAGTACAGGAATGAAAAAGATGGAGAATGGGTTCATTCCAGGTGAAGCTTTCCTAGACAGCCAGAAAAAAAAGTTAACAGGCAAGGCATCTAGGGCACCTAGGAAACAGTAATGAAAATAATGATCAGGGCGCCTGGGTGGCTCAGTCGGTTGAGTGACCAACTCCTGGTTTCAGCTCAGGTCATGATCTCAGGGTCCTGCGACTGAGCCCTGCTTTGGGCTCTGTGCTCAGCGTGGAGTCTGCTGGAGATTCTCTCTCCCTTTGCTCCTTCCCTGCTCACACAGTCTCTCTCTCTCTAAAATAAAAATTAGGGGCGCCTGGGTGGCTCAGATGGTTAAGCCTCTGCCTTCGGCCCAGGTCATGATCCCAGGGTCCTGGAATTGAGCCCCACATGGGGCTCCCTGACCTGCGGGGTGTCTGCTTCTCCCCCTCCTTCCTGCTCAAGCTCTCTCACTATCTCTGTCTCTCTCAAATAAATAAATAAAATATATTAAAAAAAATAATAAAATAAAAATTAATAAAATCTTAAAAAAAAAAAGATACAATGAATCATGGATGCCAACCTGGATAGGAAGAGTGAAGACAAAAAAGGACTGGGCTGACTGGAAAAAAGTTAACGTTAATGGACCAGAGGCTCGAAAGTAGTCAGGGAGGAGCTGAAGTGGAACTTAACTGACACAAACTGCTAGAAAGACAGGGTAAAGGTTATGGTGAGAGTATTTCAAATTCAAATCTTACAAGTAGCATGGTTCCAGGTACAGCAAGGTCCAGGGTGGAAATGAGGTAGGAATAGGGGCTGAGGAGGAATAGGCTTGACGAGAGTCAAGAGATAGACTTATCTGTCTGCCTCCATGAGTTTAATGTGCTGCTGAAGAAATCCACTGGAATCTCTACATGCCTGATACATTGTATGTGGTGCTTGATGAGTAAGTGAATGAATTGGCATAACGATTCCAGTTTCAAATTTTTCCACAGCATAAAAATGCTGCATTAAGTAGATCCATGAATGTAAGTTCATAAAAATTATTTTAAATTATTTCTTTGGGAAATAAGTTCATTCCAGTAGTAATACACTGGGTCAAAGGAAATTGTTCAACATGTCCTAATCATAAATATACAAGAGTTTCCTGCCATTTCATTATGATAGAAATAAGCAAAACCTCTTACTTTCAAAATGAACTATTCCATCAATCTGATCAATAAATCCATTCATACGTCCTTCTGTTATCATTTGTGATGCTATTTTTTCTGCCTGTAAAAAAAAAAAATCCAAAAAAACAATAAACTCTCATAGACTTTATCATATCTAACAGTTACTCACATATAAGAGAACTGAAATCTCTTGGTTTAGCTACCCACACACTTTCTGTATATGTTCATCTGCCATTCACCACAAGATCACTCTTGTAAATCTGCCTATTTTATCCCCCAGTTCTTCTGAGTATAATTGATTATTTTAATATACCCTGGGATCTGTTTTACTTGTGAGATTTTGGACAAGAACCTAGCACTCTTACCAATTTCTTCCTCTGCGTAAAATCAAACTAACAATTTTTCTTCTCACTGAGATCCACACTTGAAAAAAACCTAAACAAACTAGTTTTTCTTTTTATTTCATTTAAATTTACAGTGTTTATCACCTAAAAAATTCTTTAAGAAAATATTATTTTTGAAGAAAGTAGTATTTTGAAGGAGGAATGATGTTCAAATTTAAAAGGGAATTAAAAAGGGGTGCCTGGCTGCCTCAGCTGGTAAAGCCTGGGACTCTTGATCTTGGTGTTGTGAGTTCGAGCCCCACGCTGGGTGTAGAGATTACTTAAAAAAAAAAATCTTTTTTAAAAAGTAAATAGATAAATAAAAATTAAAAGGATTCTAAAGACAATTAAAGAGAGGGGCGCCTGGGTGGCTCAGTCGGTTAAGTGTCTACCTTCAGCTCAGGTCATGATCTTGGGGTCCTGGGATCAAGTCGCACATTGGGCTCCCTGCTCAGCAGGGAGCCAGCTTCTCCCTCTCACTCTCCCTCAGTGCTCTCCCTCTATTACTCTCTAAGATAAATAAATAAAATCTTAAAAAAAAAATAAAGACATTAAAGGGAACCAGAAGGTCCTCTACCTAGCTCCTAAAGACATGTTTCATGTTTACTATGTGCAAGCAAACTGGCTTATGACTTGGTCATTTTAGTAATTCTGACCATCTTCACAATAAATCCTAAACAGACTGTATTATATTATTAAATATATATTCACTTCCCTAAGTCTCAGTCTAAGAAGAAAGTATCTTTTAATGGAAACTTAAGTTTTGGTTCCCAAATTGTTCCATTTTCTGTACTGTGTATTGAATGTGTACAAGTAAAGGAACTATGTTAGGAAATTCTAAATTACAATTTCACCAACAGATAAAAGGGGATGTGAACCATTACTACATGACTTTAAGGTATGCAAGTTGGGTAAAAGTAGGTTGATTGCTTATTTTTACTCTTATCTAAAATTAAGAGAATGTTTTTTAAATGATAGCTGAAATACCCTCTAAAGACTACTGGTACTTTGTTGGTATTTGTACAGAGCCAACCAAACCCTTATCATGACTAAAAATGAAATTAATTTCATACTAACTCAGTCAAATTAAGATAAATCAAGCATAAAAGTTACCACAGAATAGCCTAGAGAATTATCAGTTACTCTTTCAAACAGATGAAATGTTTAACCTTTGAATCAACGAGAACAGAAAAAGAAGTAAGGCATGTACCAAAATCTCAAGTTCATCAGAAGTCAGAAAACACTATGAAGTGGATTTAAAGACACTAAGCAAAGATTCTCACAAAACAGGTATCAAAACCTGGAACACCTCACTTTATCATAAAATATAGTTTAAGAAAAGCAAAGATCTAAGACAATTCCATCAGAGTACTACTTTAACATTCAAAGAATTTATTTCCATTTTCCTGAGGCTTTTTATGTATATTTTTTATTACAGTTGCCAATATCTATCAATTACATATTTTCTTACTACATCAATAGTCTATTAACTTCTTTTTTATATATTGGAAACAAGAAAATACCTTAGCTGCAGGGATCTCTAAAAGAGCTCCAAGTTCTTCAAAGGTAATATTATTATATAATTTGCTTGCAGACAACAAATTATGTTCAATAACAGCTCTGTCCAAGATGCTAGAACCTTAAATAAATATAAATAAGACAGTTAAAAGCTTGAAACTTGTTTTACACGTTTTTCTAAAAAAGATTTATTTATTTATTTGAGAGAGAGAGTGAGTGGGAGGGAGGGGCAGAGGGAGAATGAGAGAGAATCTCAGGCTGACTCCATGCTGAGCGGAGCCCCACATGGGGCTCAATCTCATAACCCTGATTGATCACGAACTGATCCAAAACCAAGAGTCAGACGCTCAACCGACTGCACCACTGAGGCGCCCCTTGTTTTACACTTTTAAAAGACTCATCTTTTTTTTTCTAAAAATTTCTTTTTTTTTTTAAACTTTTTTTTTAAAGATTTTTATTTATTTATTTATTTGAGAGAGAGAGAGAGAGAGTGAGAGAGAGCGCGCAAGAGGGGGTAGGGTTAGAGGGAGAACCAGACTCCCTGCCGAGCAGGGAGCCCGATGTGGGACTCGATCCCAGGACTCTGGGATCATGACCTGAGCCAAAGGCAGTCGCTTAACCAACTGAGCCACCCAGGCGCCCTTCTAAAAATTTCTACACATGTAACAACCCATAATCATTTTCTTTATTCCTTTTACCAAATTGTAAAAGTAAGGAAAATGCCTTATTTGGTAGAGTTTGAATAATATACAACTAAATACAAATAACATATTTAGAAAATAAGTGATTGGCAAGTAGCTACTAACAGGCTGAATGGATTTAACCTGTTAGGTTTGGGGTTCTACTTCCTTAGGGTAGCTATCAGATTCATTAACTTTACTCTTCTTGCTATTAGCACAAACTTTTATTAGCAAGAAGCAGCAAAACCACCATGCAACCTGTTCTGCCAGCTTGACAAAGTCAATACGTATACAGCTCAGTAGAAATACCTCTCTCCTTTTTTGGGCATTCCATAAGCACCTCACTGTGAGGCAAAGATGAGAAATGTCTAGAAGGTAGGGCCAGCTAACCACGAGAGATCAGGTATAGCACCCTCCCTTAAGTGAAGTAACATAAGGCCTGACGAAGTGCTGGACATAAGGCCCCATTCTGAAGGTGTCTGACTGCTAGGCTCATCCAATTCTTTCTTTCTTTCTTTCTTTTTTTTAATTTCCAGTTTCATGGAGATATAATTGACATAGTATTGTTGTTGTTCTTAATTTCAATGATTTTTTTCAAGTTTTCATTGAAATTCCAGTTAGTTAACATACAGTGTTACATTAGTTTAGGTATAGAATCTAGTGATTCATCACTTATATCCACTTATATCCAAAACCCAGTGCTCATCACAAGTGCCTTCCTTAATACCCATCACCCACTTAACCAATCCCCCTGCCCCCTCCCCTCTAGTAACCTTGTTTGTTCTCTATAGTTAACAGTCTGTTTTCTGGTTCACCTCCTTTTCTGCCTATTTTCATCTGTTTTGTTTCTTAAATTTCACATATGAGTGAAATCATATAGTATTTGTCTTTCTCTAACTGACTTATTTCACTTAGCATAATACACTCTAGCTCCATCCATGTCGTTGCAAATGGCAAGATTTCATTCTTTTTTATAAGGCTGAATAATATTCCGGTGTGTGTGTGTGTGTGTACACACACATCTCTTCTTTATCCATTCATCAGTCATGCACATGGGGCTTTTCCATGATTTGGCTATTGTTGACAATGCTGCTACAACCATCAAGGTACACATATCTCTTTGAATCAGTATTTTTGTATCCTTTGGGTAAATACCTAGAAGGGCAAATGCTATATCGTAGGTTAGTTCTATTTTCAACTTTTTGAGGAACCTCCATACTGTTTTCCGAGTGGCTGCACCAGCTTGCATTCCCACCAACAGTGTAGGAGGGTTCCCCTTTCTCTGCATCCTCACCAACACCTATTGTTTCCTGTGTTGTTAATTTTAGCCATTCTGACAGGTGTGAGGTGATATCTCCTTGTAGTTTTGATCTGTATTGCCCTGATGATGAGTGATGTTGAGCATCTTTTCATGTGTCTGTCAGCCATCTGTATGTCTTCTTTGGAAAAATGTCTATTCATGTCTTCTGCCCATTTTTTAACTGAACTGTTTGTTTTTTGGGTGCTGAATTTTAGAAGTTCTTTATATATTTTGATTAACCCTTTATCAGACATCACATATAATATTGTATTAGTTTAAGATGTACCACATAATGATTTGATAATACATATACATTGTAAAATGATTACCACAATAAGTCTAACTAATATCCATCACCTCACATGGTTAAAAGTTTTTTTTCTTGTGGTGAGAACTTTTAAGAAACTTAAAAGTTTAAGTTTCTTAAGTTTTCTTAAGTTTACTCTTAGCAACTTTCAAATATAAAAACCTAAATAAATGGGAAAATAGGAAGACTTAATATTGCTAAGATGGCAATAGTCCCCAAGTTGATCTATGGACTAAGGGTAATCCCTATCAGAATTCCAGCTGGATTCTTTTTTTTTTCTTTTTTAAAGATTTTATTTATTTGAGACAGAGAGAGAGAGCACAAGCCAGGGGGAGAGGCAGAGGGAGAAGCAGACTCCTGGCTGAGCAGGGAGCCTGACACAGGGCTCAATCCCAGGACCCTGAGACCCCATGATATGAGCCAAAGGCAGATGCCCAACCAACTGAGCCACCCAGGCGCCCCTCCAGCTGGATTCTTGGCAGAAACTGACAAACTGATTTTAAAATTCATTCTACTGGGACTCAGAGGAGCCAAAACAATCTTGAGGGGGGGAAAAAAATTGGAGGACTCACACATCCCAATTTCAAAACTTGCTATAAAGATAGAGCAACCAAGACAGTGTGGTACTGGCATAAGAACAGGAATATAAAATAATGGAATAGAACTGAGACTCCAGAAATAAACTCTTACATTTACGGTCAACTGATTATCAACAAGGGTACCAAGATAATTCAATGGGGAACTTACAGTCTCTTCAACAAATGGTGATAGGACAATTGGATATCCGCATGCAAAGAATAGAAGCGGACCTTTATCTTACACCATATACAAAAAAATGAACTCAAAATGAATCAAATGTCTACATGTAAGAGCTACAATTATAAAACTTACAGAAGAAAACAGAGCAAATCTTCATGACCCTGGATGAGGCAATGGTTTCTTAGATATGACACTGAAAGTAGAGGCAACAAAAAAGAGAAACACTGGACTTAATCAAAATTAAAAACTTAAATGTTTCAAAGGATACCATCAAAAAAGTGAAGAAACAACACACAAAATGGGAGAAAATATTTGCAAATCATCTGATAATGATCAGGTCTAGAATATATAAAGAATTCCTACAATTCAGTAGTAAAAAGACAACCCAATTTAAAAATCAAAAAGGATCTGAACAGACTTTTCTCTAAATATATACAAATAGCCAGTAAGTACATGAAAAGCTGTTCAGGGAAATGCAAATCAAAATGATGAGATACCACTTCATACACACTAGGATGTCTAAATCAGAAAGATCATAAACGTGACAGCAAATATGGAGAAATTAGAACCCGCACACACAGCTGGCAGGAGTGTAAAAAGGAGCAGCTGCTTTTGAAAACAGTCTGGCAACTTTCCAAAAGACTAAACACAGAGTTATCATATGTCCCAGTCGTTCCACTCCTAGGTAAATACCCAGAAGAATTAAAAACCTGTGTTCATATAAAAATTTTTACATGGAAGATGGCAGAGGAGTAGGGAGACCGTAATTTCGTCTGGTCCCAGGAATTCAGCTACATAGCTATCAAACTGTGAACTCAACCAGAGATCTCTACGAACAGAAAAGCGACCACTTTCTGCAAGGCAGGACATGCGGAGAAGTGAATCCGAGGTGATATTCGGGAAGATAGATCGTGGGGGGAGGGGGCCTCCATCAGCCACTACTGGCAAGTGATAGAGCCATGGAGCACAAAATCACACTATTAGAAGTCTGCTCCAAAGCCAAAGTAACATTGAAAAAGAAAGCCAAAATGGGTGGCATCACAATTCTGGACTTCAAGCTGTATTACAAAGCTGTAATCATCAAGGCAGTATGGTATTGGCATAAAAACAGACACACAGATTAACAGAACAGAATAGAGAACCCAGAAAAGGACCCTCAACTCTATGGTCAGCTAATCTTTGACAAAGCAGTAAAGAATGTCCAGTGGAAAAAAGACAGTCTCTTCAACAAATAGTATTGGGAAAATTGGACAGTCACATGCAGAAGAATGAAATTGGACCATTTCCTTATACCACACACAAAAATAGACTCAAAATGGATGAAAGATCTAAATGTGAGACAGGAGTCCATCAAAATCCTTGAGGAGAACACAGGCAGCAACCTCTTTGACCTCAGCCGCAGAAACTTCTTCCTAGGAACATCGCCAAAGGCAAGGGAAGCAAAGACAAATATGAACTATTGGGACTTCATCAAGATAAAAAGCTTTTGCACAGCAAAAGAAACAGTCGAGAAAAGCAAAAGACAACCAACAGAATGGGAGAAGATATTTGCAAATGACATATCAGATAAAGGGCTAGTATCCAAAACCTATAGAGAACTTATCAAACTCAACACCCAAAGAACAAAGAATCCAATCAAGAAATGGGCAGAAGACATGAACAGACATTTTTCCAAAGAAGACATCCAAATGGCCAACAGACACATGAAAAAATGCTCCACATCACTCTGCATCAGGGAAATACAAATCAAAACCAGAATGAGGTATCACCTCACACTGGTCAGAATGGCTAAAATTAAATGACAGATGTTGGCGAGGATGAGGAGAAAGGGGAACCCTCCTATACTGCTGATGGAAATGCAAGCTGGTGCAGCCACTCTCCACAGTATGGAGGTTCCTCAAAAAGTTGAAAATAGAGCTACCCCACGACCCAGCAATTGCACTACTGGGTATTTACCTCAAAGATACAAATGTAGTGATCCAAAGGGGCATCTGCACCCCAATGTTTATAGCAGCAATGTCCACAATAGCGAAACTATGGAAAGAGCCCAGATGTCCACTGACAGATGAATGCATAAGGAAGATGTGGCATAGGGGCGCCTGGGTGGCTCAGTCATTAAGCGTCTGCCTTTGGCTCAGGTCATGATCTCAGGGTCCTGGGATGGAGCCCCACATCGGGCTCCCTGCTCAGCAGGAAGCCTGCTTCTCCCTCTCCCACTCCCCCTGCTTGTGTTCCCTCTCTCACAGTCTCTCTCTCTGTCAAAGAGATAAATAAAGTCTTTTAATGAAAAAAAAAAAAGATATGGCATATATATATATATATATATATACACACACAATGGAATATTACACAGTCATCAAAAAAAAAAAAACCCTGAAATCTTGCCATTTGCAACAATGTGGATGAAACTAGCGGGTATTATGCTAAGTGAAACAAGTCAATCAGAGAAAGACAATTATCACATGATCTCACTGATATGTGAAATTTAAGAAACAAAGCAGAGGATCACAGGGGAAGAGAGGAAAAAATAAAACAAGACGAAACCAGAGAGGGAGACAAACCATAAGAGACTCTTAATCATAGGAAACAAACTGAGGGTTGCTGGAGGGGAGAGGGATGGGGGATGGGGTAACTAGGTGATGGATATTAAGGAGGGCCTGTGATTTAATGAGCATGGGGTAAAAACTGATGAATCACAGACCTGTACTTCTGAAACCAATAATACATTATATGTTAATTAACTGAATTAAAATTTTAAAAAATTTACATGAATATTCATAGAAGCATTAATAGCCGAAGTGAAAATAACCTAAACGTCCATCAATTAATGAGGAAATAAAATGTGGTACATTCATATATAGAATATTACTTGGCAATAAAAAGGAATAAAGTACTGATAAATACTACAACATGGATAAACACTTTGCCAAGTGAAAAGGCTATATATTGTGTGATTCCACTTATATGAAATGCCCACCACAGACAAATCTATTTAGCAGAAAGCAGATTAGTAGTAGTATTATAAACCTTTGGGAATATACTAAAAAACAATGAATTGTAATTAAAAAAAAATTACATCTCAAGATTGCTAATGTAGGGTTGTAATGCCAGTAAACAAAAATGTCCAAAAGAGATAAATAAGGAAAAACAGTAAGGCCTAAAATGGAAGAAGACAAAACATCTGTCCTCTCTATATGGTCCCATGTGAGAAATTTGAGAATCATCTGCATCCTCAGAGGTCCTAGTAAGTATCCTTTTTAGAAAAGAATCTTTTCACATTTTTTTTCACAGCCAGAAAGCTCAAAGTCAAATCTGAAGCTTGACTATATCAATCCTGGAAACTTTTTCTTTTTAACTATCTTTTAATTTGTTTGTCAGGTATCTCCTTGCAAAAAGAATTTAAAACTGCTCAGGGGCGCCTGGGTGGCTCAGATGGCTAAGTGTCTGCCTTCGGCTCAGATCATGATCCCAGAATCCTGGGATCACATTCCGCATCAGGCTCCCTGCTCCTTGGGAGCCTGCTTCTCCCTCTGCCTCTCTCTCTCTCTCATGAATAAATAAATAAAATCTTTAAAAAAAAAATGGTTAAAGCTGCTCAGAATACATGGAAAAGAATTTAAAAGTAGCAACAATCAAAACACATACATACACACTATTTATAGGTGGGCTACAAATTTAATAAGCTTTCTAGCAGTCAAGATAAGAAAAGCCAATTAGTTCATCAACTCAAAGTGTGTTTAATAAGATAAAAAAACAACTGTTCAGGAGAATCACAACTGCAAGACTGTGAAGGAATTTTCCCTGAGGATTGTGTAACGAATATCCTATAGAAAAAAATACCTCCTTTGGACAGAAAGGTGAGAATCAACTAGTTTGCTTCTTAAAATACAAATTAAATGAAAAATTCAATAGGAGATCACTATAATCCCTTCAGTGATCCGGTTTAACCCAGGGCAGTAGGACTGGGTGAAGTGTATACCTTTCAGCAAATCCCTGCATAAATGACTCTTTATAGCTAAATTCTCTTTTGATATATACTCATTGAATCCAAGGAAGTGAGTCCAACAAATCTGTTTATCTTGACTTTTTTCATGTTTCTGATGCTGTTTATATTTTTATTATCACATGTTATTGTTTAAGTTACTTTAAAACCTCTGTAGACAAACATATATAAAGTGACTGATGTTATAAACAAGCAACTATTAAAAACTTTTCTGGAAAAGGTAGCCTGACAAAACAAATACATCCCTTAACTAGGAAACATGACACCAAGTTCTATTCTTACTGGCAATACTTTTCACCCTGAATAACCTTAAGCAAGCTACTGTGCCAAATTTCACTCTATCTAAAATAGGACTGCATAATTATACTGTTAAAAACTGATGCTTAAAATTAATTAAGGTACTTATCAAAGGGTTTGAGTTTTTTAAAAACCAGGCACTAGGGTCGCCTGGGTGGCTCAGTCATTAAGCATCTGCCTTAGGCTCAGGTCATGATCCCAGGGTCCTGGGATCGAGCCCTGCATTGGGCTCCCTACTCAGCAGGAAGCCGACTTCTCTCTCTCCCACTCCCCCTGCTTGTGTTTCCTCTCTCGCTGTCTCTCTCTCTGTCAAATAAATAAATAAAATCTTTAAAAATAAATAAATAATAAATAAAAATTAAAAAATAAAAACCAGGCACTATTAATATAGGCTGTAATTCTGCCCTTACAATTCCCAAAAATGTATTATTCTACAATACACTTTCCAATAGGGCTATTTTTATAATTCAAACCCTATCTGTATATAATACTCATTTTCAGTCAATATAATATTCCTTTTTGGTCAAGTGTTACATAAAAATATTATATGAAGATACCAAGATGCTTCAAATTTAACACACTTTCCACTAGTGTGTACCTAAATATTCACTCCCACAAATTTTTAAGACATGATCATTACCATCAGCTGTAGTTGCTTTTTGGTGAGGCATCAACATGGCAGCAAATTCTTGAAGTTGATTTCCTCTGATGATCCTGTCTAAGTACATTTTCTCTAGGATCCCATAAGCAGCAAGTTGCTGGCACCTTTCATCCTTAAAAAGAGTAGCTAGCATCCGAGAACGCTGCTGTCCTAAGGGAAACAAATGAGCATCAAATATTCTCACAATCTATTTCTCCAATAAGAAACTATGTTATGACTCAAATTTTGCCTACTAAGATACAGTCAATTGTCCTGATTTGTAGCAGTTATGTTCTACAAAGTTGCTGCCCACACTGAAGTAGTGAATACTCAATTGCGCATCCCAAAAGAATGAGTGGTATGTACTGACATATAAAGATTGCCAATATACAGGTAGGAAAAAAGCAGGTTACAAAAGTATGTGTATCATGATACCATTGATAAAAAAAGAGAACACACACAGAACTTTTACACTGAAGGAATTCCAAGTAACCAGTAAAAGTTCTTTAGAAGTGGAAGCAGTACCATTTTATGTATTGCCTTTTCAGTAACAAAAATAAAATAAGTAAGAGCACTGCTTCAGGGGCGCCTGGGTGGCTCAGTCGTTGGGCATCTGCCTTCGGCTCAGGTCATGATCCCAGGGTCCTGGGATTGAGCCCCGCATCAGGCTCCCTACACCGCGGAGAGCTTGTTTCTCCCTCCCCCCACTCTCCCTGCTGTGTTCCCTCTCTCACTGTGTCTCTCTCTGTCAAATAAATAAATAAAAAACCTTTAAAAAAGATCACTGCTTCATAAAGAATGAAATGTGTAGTGTGAACATGTCATTAGGCTCTCAACTAAATACAGATCAATAAACATTCTAAAAATGATTTAGAAAAGCCATGGTTTAGAATTATCAGCATTTCTTCTCAATGCCTTTTCTGCTTTATAAGTTGAGTGATTTACATACTATAATTTAGTAAAAAAGAATAGTTTATTTTTCATATTTATCAAAAAAAAAAGATAAATGTGAGATCTAAAACTAAGGCTTGAAGGTTAAAGAAAATCCCCAAAGCAGTACATTATTATTAATCTCTAGATTTTAATTTTTATTTCCCTCTATATAATTCTCACTTAATTTCGTTATTCATTTTTAAGAGATATATTAGGCAAACTAAACTTCCTATTATCTCTCTTAATTACTCCTAACACATGTGGGTAACAGACTGATATATGCATATTTAAAAATAGTTCCTTGTCGGGTGCCTGCGTGGCTCAGTTGGTTAAGTGTCTGCCTTCGGCTCAGGACATGATCTCAGGGTCCTGGGATCGAGCCCCCCATCAGGCTCCCTGCTCCGCAGAGAGCCTGCTTCTCCCTCTCCCTCTGCCTGCCGCTCTGCCTACTTGTGCTCTCTATCTCTCTGTCAAATAAATAAAATCTTAAAAATAAAAAATAAATAAAAATAAAATAGTTCCTTGCTAAATCCTCTAACAGTAATGAACCTGAAATTATTAAGCAAATGTAACTGTTCATGAAAGCACAAATTACATGTTTACCTGCTGATGCCAAGATGGTACAGTGCAAAGCATGTTTTAAGGCCTCTAGTCTTTCACTTTCGTGCACTATTGTCTTGTAAGAGAGCTCATTGTACCTTTGTGCAGCTTCAATGAATTTTCTTCTATAATCAAGAACACGTGCATAGCATACCTATAGAGGGAAATTTTTCAATTAGGGGAAAAAATTAAAAATCAAAGCAAAAAATAAAAGATAATTTCTAATATATAACATCATTTATCAGATGTTCTGGAGAATCTTAGTATAGTAGGATTCTTCAATACAAAATTAATCCCAAATCAACTCATCTGTTACCTTATAATGTATCTGTAACTGTTCATTGGTGGATTCATTCTGAAGCAATGATGCTCGATTTATGTAAGCCTCTGCCTGGACTGGGTCATCATCTTCCAAATATAGCCTAGCAATCTTCAGGTAAGTTTCCAGCTTATAATCTACATTGTACTGCCTAGGATGTAACAGATAAACACAGAATGACTAAGTATATTATCAAGAAAATTTTTAGGAGTTGGGAGAAAATACATTTTTTTCATTATATATTTTGTTAATATAAGAGAATCAAATTTTTACTGCATTGGAGAAAATCTAAAAAATATTTCCAAATAAATTTTATTGAATTTTTATTATTTTTATCATGATTGTTCCATTGTATTTTAGCTTCTTTCAATCCTCAGATAATCTCACAAGTCAAAGAACTTAAAAGAAAAAATGCCCAGTTGAGAGGTGTATCATATACTGCTGTTGGGGCTATAAATGAGTAAACCATCATGGAAAACAATTGGCAATATATTTTCCAATGACCCTTTGAATCCTTAAAAATACATATATTCCTTAACTACTACATTTTACCTCTAGAAAATAAATCCCAAGAAAATAATCAGGGATGTGCACACATACATACAAGGAATATTCATTTGTAAAGTTACTCATAAATATCTTAACAGGAAAAAACTGGGAATCACTTATTATGGTATTTATAATAATCAACTAAATTGTGGTACATAAAAGACGGTAGAATAATATACAGTTTTTATAATCATTACTATATAATAGTCATGTATTTTTACTAAGTAAAAAAACAGGACAAAACAGCATGTAAGACACTATTAAGATGTATTTCTATACATACATATGAAGATAGTAATAGCAATTATCTCTAGGTGTTGAGATTACAGATGGTTTTCATTTTCTTCTTTATCTCAGTGACCACATTTTATGCAAGAAATATATAACTGAACACCTCACATAATTCAAAACTCACAAAATTCAAGATTAATCCTTACAGAAAAATTAATCTTTTTTATTACCAGCAAAAGTGATGCCACCATGTGGCAAGAACAAAGTTTACAGTTTACATGGCCCAAGTTCTGAAATTCTTTTTAAATTTTTTTATACTAATTTGAATTTTTTCCACAAGTCCTATATTACTAGCATTTTGTACTCTACTATTTCCACTCACAACTCAAATTTACATTAACTGCTATAAATAGCACTATACTTTTTTGAATTTTCCAATTTTATGCCATCTACTAAATTTAAAATTACTGTAATTATCAGAATGAATCATTGTTTAAAGAAACAAATTCTCAATCGTTTATCCAGATTCTACTTTTAATCACTTTTAGGTTAATTTGTTTAAAAAACTGCTAAATTTTCAGTTCTCTGATATCCTCACAGATACAGATAATGCTACAGGACATCCAAAATGATAATTAGTCACTACAAAGAACAATATCTAATTTTATATTTATTTCAACTGCCAGTGAAAGTAAATCAATTGCCCAGTACTACGAAGAAAATACTCCACACAGAATAAGACCAAAGCAAATAAGAAAGGCCAGCCTTTTCAAACTATCAAAGAAAAAAAAACAACAACAAATGAACAGGAAGGCTTGGAAAGCAAAATTCAACATCCACATAATGAAGCCTTTCTCATAAACTGGCTGCTTTTTCAAGGAGCAGCACTGTCTAATAATTTCATAATAAGCAATGCACAAAAAGCAAGATGCCTGAACTAGTGTCTGCCTTATCATTCATCACAAATACTAATGAAGACAAAAAAAGAATTCCTCATTTACTTGGTAAAAGAGTAGAGAAGCAGCTGAAATTTTTTTAAGTCATTCACAGTTGGTATTTTTATACTTGTCAATTGAAAGGGGAAGCGTATTTAAAAAACATAACCAATAATCTCGTATCTGCCCTCCTTGTACAACGTACTTGGGAGGAATGCTTCATAAAGAACTAGAGATGTTTTTAAAAATACTTATCAAAAGGTAAGATTAATTGAATAAAAGTTATAAATTATCACCTTAATTCTTTCTAATTGTTTCTCCCTCTCACTTAGTCTAGCATCCCAAACCCAACAACCCATTGAACCCACTGTGACCTCTACACCACTGAACTCATTACATTGTTGCTGTCTTTTTCCCCTTAAAGGCCTCACTTCACCCCTTACCTAGTTTAACCCCTATGGTCAATCACTGTTAATTATTGAATATGCACTCATCTACCTTGTCCATCTCTTGCTGTCACACTTGTTGGGCAACATTGTAACTGTGATTAAACCTAAGTTTGCCTACGCCTTTCCTGCACCCATGTAGCTGAACTCTGATGGAGAAAAACACCCAATCAATCTGAAGGATCTCATTTCAATCACTACAATCTTCAGATGAGCCCTTATTGCTGCCAAGTATATTCCTAGTTTACTCACTCTCCTAAAGAATTTTTTCTATTTTTGTCTTCCCTCAACTTCAACACTCCCACCCCCATCCACATCTCCAGCTGATGACCGATTCTGACCTCACTAAGAATACTGAAGCCATCAAAGAGTACTTGCGCAAACTCCGCCAGCACATGGCTAATACAGCACCCGCATACTCGGTATTGCTGGTTGTTACTATAGATCACTGGGGGCTATTCTGCCCACCGGGGAACATATGGCAATGTCTACAGACATTTTGATTGTCACAAATAGGGGCAATGATGCTACTGGCATCTAATGACAGAGGTCTGGGATGCTGCTAAGCATCTTGCAATACACAGGACAACCCCAACAAAAAAGAATTAGTCCATCTAAAATGCGAACAGTGCTGGGGTTGAGAAACTCAGTCACAGATGAATTATCTATGCTTCTATCTAAAGCCTATCCCTCCACTAGTTTCCTTCCCCTCTGTCTACTCCTGCCAGAATCCTCTCTCTTACTCCCTGTATCAAATTTTTGCTTTCCGAAAAATCATAAAAGAAAAAATAATCTCTGCTGCTTCTACCCCATTTCTCTGCTCCCTTTTGTGAAAACCTCTGCAAAGAGTTGCCCATACATACCATCTCCCAATCCTTCTCTTCCCATTCCAATCATGCTTTTTCATTCTTACTATTTCACCAAAACAGCTTTTGTCAAGTGTCTCAATGACCTCCACATTACTAACATTTCCAATGGCTAACCGTCATTCCTCATCTTACTTGACCTAGCAACACCAGAGCTGATCACTTGCTCCTTGATACGTTTTCCTCATTTGGCTTTTAGGCCACCACACTCCACATTCTTCTGGTTTTCTTCTTACCTAAATACTTTTTACTTCCTCTTGCCCCTGACCTCTTAACGCTGAGTGCTCCAGGAATCATACTCAGTCCTCTTCTCTATATTTCCTCCCTTGGGGATCTCACTGATATAATGGCTTTAAATTCCATCTATATAGAGACGCCTGAGTGGCTCAGTTGGTTAAGCGTCTGCCTTCGGCTCAGGTCATGATCCCAGGGTCCTGGGATCGAGCACCACATAGGGCTCCCTACTCTGCGGGGAGCCTGCTTCTCCCTCTGCCTGCCGCTCCCCCTGCTTGTGTGTGCTCTCTCTCTCTCTCACAAATAAATTAATAAAATCTTAAAAAAAAAAAAATTCCATCTATATATCAATGACTCCCAAATGTAGCCCAGATCTCTCTCCTAAACTACAAACTAATATATTCAACTCCCTACTAGACACTTTCACTTGGTTATCACATGTCCAAAATGGAACTCTTGATCTTCCCTCAAAACCTATTCTTTACTACTCAGTAGATGGCAACTCCATCTTTCCAGTTGTTCAGACCAAAACCAGGATTCATCTTGGCTCTTTTTCTCATACTCCATATCTAAGCTACCAGAAAATCCTTAGCTCTACCTTGAAAACATACCCAGAATCCAACATTTCTCACAATCTCCATCTTCTCTGCAGTAGTACATAAGCCTCTTAACTCATGTCCTTACTTCTATCATTACTTGCCTACAATTATTCTCAACCCAGTAGGCAGAATGATTTTCTAAAATATAAGTCAGATCATGTCACTCCTCCATACAAAATCCTCCAATGGCTCCCCTTCATTTCACTTAACAAAAAGCCAAAGGCCTTACAATGACTTACAAGAACCTACATAATCTGGTCCTCAGTACTCTCTGATCTCAGCCCCCCACCTTTCCTTGGCTCACTCCACTCCAACCACACTGGTATCCTTGATCTTCTGAAAACACTCCAGGCAGGCTCCTGTCTTAGCACCTTTACATTAGCCATCCTCTCTAAGAGGATCTCCTAAGAGTCTTCCCTCAGCTCATAGCCATTCCCTTATTTTCTTCAAGTGTCTGAGAAGTTGTATCTGGACCACCCTACCACTCCAATCACCCTATTTAAAGATTTATTTATTTATTTATTTATTTGACAGAGAGAGAGAGACAGCGAGAGCAGGAACACAAGCAGGGGGAGTGGGAGAGGGAGAAGCAGGCTTCCCGCTGAGCAGGGAGCCCGATGCGGGGCTTGATCCCAGGACCCTGGGATCATGACCTGAGCCGAAGGCAGACGTTTAACGACTGAGCCACTCAGGCGCCCCCAATCACCCTATTTAATGATACAACCTGTTCTCCACTTTCCCTTTACTTTTCTCTATAGCACTTATCCCCTTCTAACATACTGCAAAATTTTTGTATTTATTAAATTGTTTATGATATTTCTTTCATTAGAATGAGAAAAAACATAAGTGAACAATGATAAATATCCTATATACATCTCCATCCAATATCCACTATTTACTATACTTTTGTCCTGTTTCCAAAGGAATTCCCACCAACACTTGGGCTGCATTTCTCCAATCTTCTTCTTTCTCATATATGGATGCAAGATGCTGTCTTATTGAAGCAACCTGGAATAGTAGGTAGACATGTTAAATTATTTCAACTGACATTAGTGACTAAAATAAATGGAGGCTAAGTTAATCTACTGTGATAATGCTTTCATTCAACATATTAAGCTGACAAGTAAATAGTGCTAGTTTAACTAGACCACCCCAATCTTTTTTTATGAATTTTGCATTCACAGAATATCAAAATATTGAACTAACATATTTCTGCAATGTGGATTATGGCAATAATTTAGTTTAAATATTAAATTTTACTTTTATGTTAACTGTATATATAATGCTAGCATTTTCCTATGATTTTAGCCTTATTAACAATTTTTCTGATTCTTAAAAATTGTCTAAAGAGTAGTATTTGGTTTGTAAATCAAACTGTAATATCCAAGCAAATGTCAGCTGGAGTTACAACATCCTAATATTTATTTTTACATTGTAACATGCTGTTTGGCACACTGTTTTGTCAAAAATAAAACTGGATGATCATCTCCTTTAAAAATGTCATAGTATCTCTCAAAATAACTGCTGCTATCTCATGTTGAAAAATCACTGCTCTAGATTTTTACCTGCTCCTCAAATGAAATGACTCTAGGCTGGATCTTTTCCAAGGTGAAATGATAGATTTCTTTGGCTGTGCTATCAGGCAGGTTAGGGAGATGTGTACAGAAATCAGTCAGCAACTGTCGAGAGATCACGAGACTGACATTCTCATTCACCACTTGTCAAAAAAAAATAAGAGATAAGAAAACATGAGTAATTTATAAATTTTCATTAAGCAATCAATTTTTACCTAAAATTAACATTAAGAACAATATAGATTAGTACAACCTTCACTGTATTATTCAGGGACTTCCATACCCATATCATCTTATATTACAGAATCAGTTTTCCTTATGCTGAATTATTTGATTACATAATGACTACACTAAAACAGTAAAAATCCCATAATTTTCCTAAGAAACAGAAATGGCTGGGGAAAAGTTTTGTTTTCCATTTGAGAATTTTATATTATTCCTTCTCTTCCTTATTGTTCTATAAAGGGAAGGCACAGAAACACCTATATTTTTATGTATGTACTTATATACCACCTGGTGACAAAAAGGAGTTAAAGAAGAAAGATAATTTTCATGAAATTTAAATAAAGCAAGTAGTGACAGTTACCGCCACTTGTATTTTCCCAATAAAAACAACAAATAAGAACTGAAGTCAGCACTAGATGTACAGACATATTTAATGACATAATTCATAAACATGTATGAGTTTTTATTACTGTATGTGATAAAGGATGAGAGCTCTGAAGCCTCGCTGCTTCCACCATTCCCGATCAGATGCCCTCCAACGTTTCTGTTTCCTCCTTTGTACAGTGTGGCTAAGGCTGCTGAGAAGCTTAAATGCATTATACATAGAGCACTTTAAGCAACATGGGGTACAAAGCACTCAACAAATGTTCATTATTATTATCACTATTATTATATTTTAAAAGATGCATCGTGCTTGTGACCACTGCTCAGATAAATTAAGTCTGAAATCAGCAGTTACTGGGAAAATAAGTGATCGTTCAAAAACAGTTCAGCTGATGTAAATGATTTTCAGTAGACTGCTTTTCATTGGTTCACTGGATTCAAAGTTTATATAAAGATCAAAGTTTAAAGATCAAAATCACTATTCTTGGAGCGCCTGGGTGGCTCAGTCGTTAAGCGTCTGCCTTCAGCTCAGGTCATGATCCCAGGGTCTTGGGATCGAGCCCCACATTGGGCTCCCTGCTCGGTGGAGAGCCTGCTTCTCCTTCTCCCTCCCGCCCCCCGCTTGTGTTCCCTCTCTCGCTGTGTCTCTCTCTCTGTCAAATAAATAAATAAAGTCTCAAAAAAAAAAATCACTATTCTTTTGCTACTACAATGCAATATTCTCAATAAAACCATTCCTAATAGTTTTTCTGAAGTGACGGCCAGTTCAACACACATTGCAGGCCCCAATTTTTTGAGGCAGTAATTTACGGCAACCTGTAACAAACTTGTAATCAGTTCGTGATATATTAATCATAATTCATTTGATACAGCTGAGAAAACACTTTCATTACAAGTGTCATTAGGCACTTACGACTGTTAGAAAGAAGTTCCTACATAAACTAGCACTTCTCATGAGAATGTGTGTGAGAGCACTCCGTACACTGTAAAGCACTCTCAAGTGTCATTAATATTGTTAACTCAGTATCAAGTCCAGCCTGAATTTTGAGTAATTTTCAAAATAACTGGATATGTTTGAAGTCAGGGAGTAGGTGAGAATGTCTTGAAGAATGGAAATGTCTAGTTCCCATTCAAATGGAATGTTCTTAACGTTAATAACGGTCAATACCTATATAGCGTTTATTCTATGCCGGGCACTATTCAAAGCACTTTACTTGGTATATCAACTCATTTAACCTCCCAACATTTCTACAGGGTAGCTATTACATCCCCATTGTATAGACAAGGAAATGGAGGCACAAAGGAATTAACTTATCCAAGAACACACAACTAATAAAACAACACACCAGACTGAATCTAGACTATTTTCCTTATCATTATGCTACATTGTCTTTCATCAGTTACTGTATCAATTACTGTAGAAAACCTTAATTGGTAATGTAACTCTGAAGACAACTTACTGAAAAATTATCAAGTAGTAAAGCTTAAATTCTAAAGTGAATTTCAATGTATATTTAAATTTAATCTCAATGAAAATTATATTGATAACTTGACATAAAACAAGCTTGAGCAGCTTTGAAGTCCTAACTCAATAATACAAGGCAAACATGGAATCTTCATTCCACTTACTTGCTTCCACAAAAGCTTTCAAAGCTTCTAGTTGTTCTGCCCCAGATAACTGAATGGCTTTTTCCAGGATCTGACGATACCTAAAACAACACCAAATAAAAATAATGTTCAGAGAACACCATACTCTAATGCTAATTTTGATGTTTATTCATTTCTATTTATCCTGGTTTCTTTCATAGTGCTCTAGTTTGTGGTTTTCTTTATAGTACACCACAGATTTTTCTGTTGTTGTTTTAAGTTCCTAGTCCATCACAAGAAACACTAAATCTGTAATTCTAAGGTGTCACTTCTAGTTTTCTTTACGTTATACCATATTTTTTTTTTTTTTTTTTTACGTTTTCAAGCCCAGGAGCACCTGGCTGGCTTAGTTGATAGAGTATGAGACTCTTGATCTAAGGGATTGTGAGTTCAAGCCCCACAGTGGGCATAGAGCTTACTTCGAAAAGGAAAAAAAAAGTTCTCAAGCCCATCACAAGAAAACGAATCTGTAACTCTAAGTTACTGGATCTAAAGTGCCCCTTTTTCTTGAAAAAGTTTTAGTTTTAAATTTAAACTAAAAAGTCAACTTTTGGGGTGCCTGAGTGGCTCAGTCCGTTGGGCATATGACTTGATATCAGCCCAGGTTGTGATCTTGGGGTTGTGGGATCGAGCCCTGCCTCCCCCCCCCCCCCCCCCCGCTCCATGCTCAGCACGAAGTCCGCTTGGAATTCTCTCTCTCCCTCTGCCCCTCCCGACACTTGGGTGCAGGCATGTGCACATGCTCTCTCTCTCTCTAATAAATAAATGAATGTTAAAAAAAAAGTCTCTTATGCTTTGCCTTTCTCTCTTTAAAAATAAATAAGTCAACTTTCAAATGCCTTAAAAAATAAGTTATATTTCCTTCAATTGTGTATTACACAGACACACAAGAATGTTATTTGAGGTGACCCAGAACCTTTTCCTCTTGTGGGCCTAATGAAACTAGGGTCACCAACACTAGGATAGTGTTGATGAGGCAGTGAAACCAAGTATTAGGGACTGAATGTCTTAGTGTGTACAAAACAAACTCCACCAAGCCAAATGCACTGACAGAACACATCTTATGCTATCAGACAGTGCCTATATATTCTTTATTTGCAATCACTTCTAATAACTATTCTGCCTAATATTCATGACCACGTAAGATTCAAATCAGCACTCTAAAAAGGATGGGGGAGAGGCATCTGGGTGCCTCTGTTGGTTAATTGTCTGCCTTAGGCTCAGGTCATGATCTCAGGATCCTGGGATGGAGCCCCCAATTTGGGAATCCCTGCTCAGCAGGGAGTCTGCTTCTCCCTCTCTTTCTGCCCCTCCCCCCACTCATGCGCTTGCTCACGCTCTCTCTCTCTCAAATAAATAAAAATCTTAAAAAAAAAAAAAGGATGGGGAAATGCTAAAAACAGGAACAATGACAATTATTAGGCAATGGCAAATTCATTCCTAAAATATAAACTCTAGGAAGACAAGGATTTTTGTTTGTTTTGTTGACTGCTATACACACAATGCCTAAAGCAGCATATCACAAGCATTCAAATATTTAACGGTATTGGTAAATAATAATACAGTATTTTATTTCTTAAACTGAGTGGTGGGTACACAAGTATTATACTATTTTTATCCCTTCTGTCTTAATAGTAATATTTATTAGAAGCATTAGTTAATGCATTTTACAAACCTAATAGTATCAATTATTCAGAACGTCATCCAGAATATAGTCAAGAAATAAAAATATACAAATAGGAAAAAATATATATACAAATAGGGCCCAAACTCATTCAAATTTATGATTTGTATTTTGTAGGGCACACCCTCAAGCTACCATTCAACACTGATTCTCAACCCATACAGTATTCTCTGAACCTTGGTTATATGATTTCTCAAAAACACGATGGATCAAATTGACTTGTAAGAAAGATAAACTGACAGAAAAGGCAGCAAACTCCAAAAGAGAGAAACTACTCTAATAGAGCAAGGAAATATTATTAAGCTTTAAAATAAAAATTGATAGTTTTAAAATTATTTTTAAAATTTGAGGGACAGTATTCAGTTACCTGAAAATTCATTAACATGGAATATCTCATTCTTTCTATATATACACATACACACACATGCACATATACTATTTTCCATATCTATATTTATACATCTACTTTATTGCTCTGGGCATTTAAGTTAATACATTCAATGCTTTATTCATTTTTGATTGACTTATTATTCATATTCTTCATATTCATGGCTAAGCCCCCTTAATCTTATATCCCTATAGATTATTTTATACTAACAATATTATACTCAAATATGACAATGTCCCACAGAAATTTTCTGATTAACCTGCTTTAAGTCATTGTTTTGTAACTTATCAACTAATCTGTATTAAAAACACACCAAAAAAACCTCTAAAAAGGATAAAACTTCTATATTAACTACATCATACAACTTGCATTACAAATTGCCTACCCAAACTCTCAACTTTTATTAAGAAAGTGAGGTATAGGGGCGCCTCAGTTGGTTAGGCAACTGTCTTCGGCTCAGGTCATGATCCTGGAGTCCGGGATCGAGTCCCGCATCGGGCTCCCTGCTCAGCGAGGAGCCTGCTTCTCCCTCTGACCCTCCCCCCTCTCATGTGCTCTCTCTCATTCTCGCTCTCTCAAATGAATAAATAAATCTTTAAAAAAAAAAAAGAAAGTGAGGTGCAGAGCTCGGGCTAGATGCTATCTTACTCATTCTCTAATATGTAAATTCTAGTATCTAAAAATAAGAAATTACTTTTTTACAATAATAATAAGGAATGACTAATAAACCTAATTTAAATCTGGGATTTAAATAATCAATCGGGCACCTGGATGGTTCAGTCAGTTAAGCATCTGCCTTCGGCTCAGGTCATAATCCCAGAGTCGCAGGATTGAGCCCCCAGTCAGGCTTCCTGCTCAGTGGGGAGTCAGCTTTTCCCTCTCCCTCTGCTCCTCCTCCCTCTTGTGCTCTCTCTCTCTCTCTCTCGCTCACTCTCTAATAAAATCTTAAAAAAATAATCATTTAATATTGCCATATTAAATCATCCAAAAATGCTAATTGAGCACCTAAGCTTTTTTAAATGCTAATATAAGATTCTGTGTATGATACTAAAGAGATTTTAAATAACCTTAGTCTTTGAAGATATAATATAGTCGGGCAAATAAAAATTTAAAAATCAAATAATATTATCACATATTAAATTAAAATAAAAGTTACTGAAATGAATAAAACTGAACAATATAAGAAGTATGACTGTAAGAACTAATAAATGAATTTGGTAAAGTGGGGTACAAAATCAATGCTTGAAAATTTGTTGTGTTTCCAATAGCCAAGCTATGCAAAGAGCCCAGATGTCCATCAATAGATGCATGGATAAAGAAGATGCAGTATATATACATACACACACATACACACACACACACGATGGAATATTACTCAGCAATCAAAAAGAATGAAATCTTGCCATTTGCAATGATGTGGATGAACTAGAGGGTATTATGCTAAATGAAGTCAGTCAGTCAGAGAAAGACAAATATATGATTTCAGAAACAAAACTGATGAACATGAGGGAAGGGAAGGAAAAATAAACTAAGACGGAAACAGAGAGGGAGACAAACCATAAGAGACTCTTAACTGTAGGAAACAAACTAAGGGTTGCTGGAGGGAAGGTGGGTGGAAAGATGGGGTAACTGGGTGACGGGCATTAAGGAGGGCACATGATGTAATGAGCACTAGGCATTATATGCAACTGATGAATCCCTAACTTCTACCTCTGAAACTATTAATATACTGTATGTTAATTAAACTGAATTTAAATTTAAAAAAATCTGTTGTGTTTCTAAACACTAGAAAACATCCTATTTACATCAAAAAGAAAAAAATAACTAGGAATAAATTTAACCCAGGTGAAAGATCTGTACACTGAAAACTATAAGACATTGATGAAAAAAACTGAAGACATAAATAAAAGGAAAGACATTCCATAGTCATGGATTGAAAGTATTAGTATTGTTAAAATGCCCATACTACCCAAAGCAATCTACAGATTCAATGAAATCCCTATCAAAATTCCAATGGCATTTTTCACAGAAATAGAACAAACAACTAAAATTTGTATGGAACCATAAAAGACCTTGAATAACCAAACAATCTTGAGAAAAAACAGTTGGAGGCATCACACTCCCTGATTTCAAATTATTACAAAGCTATAGTAATCAAAATGGTATGGTATCAGTATGGACACAGACACATAGATCAATGGAACAGAACAGAGAGCCCAGAAATAAACCTGCACATATATGGTCAATTAATTTATAACAAAGGAGGCAAGAATATACAATGGGGAAAGGACGGTGTCTTCAGTAAATGGTGCTGAGAAAAATGGACAGCCACATGAAAAATAATGAACCTGGACCACTATCTTACCCCATACCAAAAATAAACTCAAAATGAATTAAAGACTTGAATGTAAGACCTGAAACCATAAAACTCCTAGAATAAAACATAGGTGGTAAGCTTCTCAACACTGGTCTTAGCAGTATCTTTTTAGATCTGACTTAAGCGGTGACAACAAAAGCAAAAATAAATAAAGGGGATTATACAAAACTAAAAAGCTTCAAGTGAAGAAAAACATCAACAAAATAAAAAGGCAACCTATAGAATGGGAGGTTATCTAATAAGGGTTAACATCTAAAATATATTTAAGAAACTCATACAACTCAATAGCAAAAAATAAATAAATAAAAGAGTGATTAAAAAATGGCAGAGGGGGACACCTGAATGGCTCAGTTGGTTAAGCATCTGACTCCCGATTTTGGCTCAGATCATGATCTCAGGGTTGTCAGATGGAACCCCACATCAGGCTCCGCCCTAGGCATGAAGCCTACTTAAGATTCTCTCTCTTCTCTTCCTCTCTCTCCCCAAACCCCTGTTCACTTTCTCTTTCTCTCTCTCAAAAAAAAAAGGGGGGGGGGGCAGAGGAACTGAATAGACATTTTCCCAGAGATAAACACGGCCAAAAGGCACATGAAAACAGGTTCAACATCACTAA